TGGGGTCCCAATCTGAGCTCTCTGCTGGATGCAATATCTGTTTATTCTGTTGCTCTTTCATTTACTCATGCTGGCATGTGAAATCTTCTCTCTTCTTGGAGTTAGGTGCTCTCACATACTGGGAAACAAAAACAAATCCTTGTCTAGTGAGAGATTCTGCTGGTATTATCCCAATTTGTTTTGCAAAAGGCACGACTGTAAGAAGTAAACGTGCAAAACCCGCTATGCTCTGTATTAATAAGGGGAAGGCTAATAATGGGTTGAAAGTGCTGTTTGAGATACCAGATTTTTTTCTCTCCTGACACCTGAGCTGCTGGATGTTTCCACTTTACTAATGCTACCTGTAGGTGGCTTGTATTCCAAACAAAACCCAAACTAGTTAGATAAACCAAACAAGGAAAAAAGAGAGATTAGCATTTTGTTGAAAGCACAAAAGTCAGTCTGCGAAAATAACATGAAAGCAGGGTCTCTTGCCTTTGTTTACCCTACTGCAAATATGTTTGCTTAGGAGCAATAAGAGTTAATTGTCAAACTTTACAATGTAGTCAGAGATTTTCGCATAAAATGTATAACAGACTCTGCCCAGATGGCAAATGCTGATATGTAAATCTAAAACATGAAAATTTCCATTGGGGGCCAGATGGTGGCTTAATGTGAATTGTTTAACATTTATGTTTATCTTATTAAAAGTGCCTTTATATGTCCAAACTAAGCTATCAATGTGGTTGGAAGAGCATATCACTAAATGAACAAAAAATAAAATAAAATCAAACAACAAGTACAAGGCACCTCCTGCTTACGTGGCTCATGGAAAAGGAAAGCATGTCCTTATCCGTTGAGAGAAGTGAAGAAAATATCTATCTACAGAATTGTGAAGAAAATATTAGAAATAAAATCAAATCAGTGTTTGTCTGCTTGGGAGAAACATTAAAATCATGTTACGTTCCCAGAAAGTACAATGGTGGTACACATTAAATACCTTGATGTACTTCCTCTTAAAATAGGCGTTGGTGTTGAGGGGGAAGGAGCCGAGCTGTAGCCAGGGAAAGCATCACTGCGGTCCCTCCCAGGCCAAGGTCCTTCCTCCTGCAGGGCAGGCCTGGCTCTTCCCGCGCCGCCTCTTGGCTCTGCCCAAACCATCGTTTCCTCTGATGCAATTCAAGGAGTTGCACAAGGGAGGAAAGAACAAACGGGCGCTTGTGGGAGCCCGTCACATGAGGGACGGCTGGCGCCTTTACAGTAAATCCATCTGACATGAGGGGAAGTGGTTAGCGAGGCTCGGGAGGGCGGCGAGGAGCCCGGGGTCAGATGGATCTTTCACAGGACTCTCGGGGCACGTGCTCCAGTCGGAACATGAACCTGTGCTCCCTCGTCCCTCCACACAAACCTTTCTGAGACCAACACATCACGTTAAGGCATCTAAAAATCAGAGGGTAGCTGTTGCACAAGCAAGAAGTAAAATACCTTTTAATAAGTTTAGTTAAACACTCCGGGCATCAAATACATGGTTATTTTTGGTGACGCTTTCACAGTGGAAGGGGGAAAGATGCTTCAGTAATAAACCTGAAATAGAATGCCTGCCTGTGTCTCTGTGTACCTCCGTGTATGTGTGTGATAGTGTTCAACAAGGCAGAGAAAAAGAGGAAGGCTGTGGGGAGGCTGAAGGAACAAAATTGCAAAATATTTGATATTTGCTTTAGACTGCAATTTTAAATTTATTTTTTTTAGTTCTTTGCTGTCACCCTGTGCTGGGGGTTGTGATTCACTCCTTACTAAATCACTGGTCACTGTTGACTCCATTAACTTTGACTTGAGGCTTTGGGCTAATGCCCAGAATTAATATATTTTATTTTATTTTTTTCTTGAAAAGGGCAATATTGCTAAAAGCATTGACTGAAATTACAGTTCAGTCAGTGTTAAATGGCAGGTTAATATTTAAATCAGTGTGCTGTTTGATGATGTTACATATTAGCATATTGAACAGAACACTTCCCCCATGCAAGCTATTAATTTGAAGAGTAATTACTTGAAATGTTATTTGAAGTTAAGGCTAATATTGTTGTATAGAACTTTTCAAATTTAGAGTAGGAGGGCTCATTTCCAACCATATGGTAATAATTAAAAAAAATTTTAAAAAATAAATAATGCACTCTTGTGGTTTTTAGTGCTACAAATGCAACAACTAAATAAAAATAAAAGAAGGTGCTCCTGACAAGCATCTTCCTCCAGGGTAGAGCTCAACCACATTTTGCAAAGCTCAGCCCTTTGCCAGATATGAGGTGCCGGGCTCAATATGGTCCCTTGAAAAATGGTGACAGGAGCCAATCAATGCTGTCATACTTCTCAAACAGCAGCCCAGATTCCTGAAAACTGTGCAAGCGTATTCATTCAAAAATTAATCCTGCTGGCTGAACTGATTGCTGCAGAGGTGGAGAGGTACAGCCACAGATTATTTTTTTTTTTTTTTTTGGGATTAAAACAGAGAAAAAAAAAACAACCAAAAAACCAAACAACAACTCAATTTTAAAACTCTCTAGACTCAACGTTGCCCAATCACTGCTACAGGGGTTGGCAAGATATTTCTTTTTTTTTTTTTTTTTTTTGGCCAGCTGGTGTCTTTGGAGGTCTCTCATCCCACCAACAAAGCAGCACCCAAAGTTACTTATTTTGGTAAGAAATGTAGCCAGTAGCATGGGTGAAAGTTTTAATAGCTGCGTGTTAAGTTTTTGCACTAGGGCTACGTGGTTTTTCCTCAAGGAAAACATGTTATGCTTTCTTTACCTCTTGTGATTGCTTTTGTTTTTCGTGATTTAAACTGAAACTGAGCAGCAGTTCTGCTATTTTTGTGCTGTAGTCTGTTGCAACTTGGAGAGGAAAACAGCTCTATTAATTCACAGTCTTGTGAATTATATACGTGCGCACACACAAAAAGATCTTTTGAGTCCCATTTTTAATGGTGCCTTGTAAATGAATAATTCAGAAGTGAGCCCTAAAATCCAGATCCTGCAGTTTTATCCAGAACATATTGCAAATGCTCTGAGACTAGGAAACAGTTTTGAATCTGCTGCAGAAGGAGACAGTGAGCAGCTGGTAAACTACTGGCCCTTAATGAAGCTATACCATATTGCAATATCTCCAATTACTGCAGAACTTAATTAGTTCGTTTTACCCTGCCAATCTGCAGAGACCAAACGTTGTCCTGGGCAGCCACTATAATTATTTCAGCTTCTTCATTGGTGGCCATTAACGCTGAGTTTGGTCTCTCCCAGCAAGGTATATTAAATGTCTTAGATTTGGGAATGCCTGCGTTGTCTTACACATAAATATTTTGTGGAACTGCCTGGTTTTAGAGAAAAGTGCTTTTTTTAGTAACTGGCAGAAATAATTCATGCAACGTGTAAATATGAGTGTTAATGGTACAGTGTTTTTAACGAAGAAATGAGAATACTGAATTGGCTGGTTCTCGTGTGGGCTTGCCCTCAAGCTTTTTGCCATAACTGTTGTACAGAAGCGATGGGTTTGAGTGGCAACATGACTGGGTGTTCAGGTTACTTTGCTTCTCTATTTGAAAACAGTCTTTAGAGATAAAGGAATGTTTTAATGTGACATGATGGCAAAATAAGAGTATGTTGGGTGTAGATCTGCTAACTGAATAATTAATGTTCTGTTTAAATGAAATGTAGTGTCCAGTATATTTTTTTGTAGTGTGCCAGCCTGATGAGAATGCCCAACTCTGAACATCATTTTTGTGTGCTGCCGCTAAAGGGGACTTTTAAGAATAATGAGACATGCAATGAAATCAAAACTCCCAGGCACCAGAAAGAAATTGTTGGCATTTACCCATCTGATAAATGTGGCTACCAAGTATTAAAATTCTGTATTAGCTGACATCCAAATTAATGATTTTTGAGTGTTAGGTTTTCTTCACAGAAGAAAATAGTTTAAACTTCAGCCCTTAAAAATACTGAATATTTGAACAATAAAAATTCAAAACAATCCACTACCCTGTCCCTCCCTCCCCCCAAAAACTCAATAAATTAAATTAATCCAATAAATTAATAGAATAATTAATAAATCAATGCAATAAATTAAAAGAAATTGTAGCCAAATCAAATAATATTAACTGGGTGGTTTTCCCTAAATAGCAGAGTTTAATTTGTCTTCTGAAACACCAAAGGTGCAAGAGGCATCTTATTTCCAAGAAATTTAGGTCATTGTTAGCTGTCTGATAATGATTGACTGATGAGCCAGAGGCCAACTGATTACCAAAATTTGACACCTATTGACCTCTAGTTTATACTCAGCTGCCCCCAAACCAACCACACTTAGAACATCATTTTAGACTAAGCTTTAAATTACAACTTTTTAATAATTGTATTTGGTGTTACAGCGATGTTGTGTCACTTGGTGATTTTGAAACCAGGTTATCCTCCGACCCTGAAGCACTCTTCTGAAGGATGGAACATAAATATTTTAAAATACATTTTCCAGTATGGCTATTATGGCTACTTCAGTCAGCCCCGTCATGTTTTTAGTCAGCTTTTACAGTTTTATAAGACTATACTGAAAAAAAATTTACATGGGTAAACTTTTCAATTTCTTTCCATTTATTGTCAATTTCTTTTTTCTCTTCAATTTTCTTCTAAAAATGACTTTACTGTGACATAATTCATTCTATAGCTTCAAGTTTTCTTTGAGCTAGTTTAGGAAAGAAGAGTATATTTTTCCTCTGGCTAGTTCATGTATTGCCTTACCGATTGTAACAAATTGCTTGGTTTCTATGAGCCTGTGTGTGGGCCACAGCAACCAAACCATCAGTTCACACGCTTCAGAAAAGTCGTATGGAGCCATGTTTTATTTAGATAGTTTTGTAGGATTAAGAGAATAAGCTTCAATTACATGAGTCTGCCTGTTTAATACAGAACTGAAAAGCTTTGCTATTGTTCTAAACCAGTTTTGCTGGGGAGGACGCTTGGTTAAAAAAAGCATTTCTGTTACAGGACATGAACTTGATTGACATCCTTTGGAGGCAAGATATAGACCTTGGGGCAAGGCGTGAAGTTTTTGATTTTAGTCAACGGCAGAAGGAGTATGAACTCGAGAAACAGAAGAAACTTGAAAAGGAAAGACAAGAGCAGCTCCAAAAAGAGCAGGAGAAAGCCTTGCTGGCTCAGCTGGAGTTAGACGAAGAGACAGGTGAATTTGTTCCTGTTCAGCCAGCTCAGCGCGTTGAGGCAGAAAATACCGAGCCACCGATCGATTTTTCACAGGTAAGTTCTCAGATGGGTTTGTGAGCGCGTTTAAACCATTTTCCATTCACAGGAAGACATGATGTTGGTGGTTACCTAAAATGAATTTGCATTCGTTGCTGTAATGGAAGATTCTTCAGTTATTCAAAGATGCAGTAACATTTTTTCATAACTTTCCTATTTAGACCACACAGACTTCAAAACCAGAAGCAGAGGCCTTGTCCTTTGATGACTGCATGCAGCTCTTGGCAGAAGCATTCCCATTTATAGATGACAATGAGGTAAAAACGCTCAACAGAGCGGTTTCATGGGTGGTCTTCTAAAGGGTCAGTCTTGTGTCTTCTCTTATTAAGATTTGTCTTCGCCAATATAATAGTTTGTGATATGACTTGAGTTTTGTCCCCAGGCCGACTCCAACTGGAATAAAGCAGTGTATTAGGGCTGTGTCCAGAGCGACTGGAGTTGTGCTCTTGTGTTCCTTCTGCTTACTGAATCCTGCAGCCAGGGTTCAGCGTACGATGCCAGCTGATGGCAGCTGCTCCAGTTACTGCAAATAACGGTAGTGGCCTTCCTCGCTTTGCTACAGTCAGCTTAGTGCAGCTCCCTGCAGCTAGGGCATCTGAGGTGCTTTCGTTCCATGTGCAGACCCAGACTATTTCATGTGTAAAGATTTCTAGCTTTTTTTTTTTTCCTCCTATTTCTTTTCTTAATATGAAAACTTCTTTAATGGGAATATTTTTGTATTATTCCATTATTTACAAAAAATATTTTTGTTAAAAAATATCTGTCTGTCCTGCAGAAATGGTAGAACACCAAAAACCAGAATTTTGCTTTGGAAAATTGGGAGGGTTGGGTGGTAGTTTTTTATGTGGATTTTTTTTGTTGTTATTGTTGGTTTGATTGATTTTTTTTTCCTAATTTATTTTTTTAAAAACACTCCAGGCTTCTTCAGCTGCATTTCAGTCACTGGTTCCTGCTCAGATTGATAGCAACCCAGTCTTCATTTCCTCTGATCAAACTCAGCCACCTGAATCACCTCTTCTAGTTCCACTTACTGATGCGGAGAATATGCAGAACATAGAGCAAGTTTGGGAAGAATTATTGTCCCTTCCGGAGCTACAGGTAAAGCTTTAGTATGATAAGCACAATATTAGTATACAATTAGTACGATAGCATGGTATTTTGGAAGAATATGCTATTTTGGATAATGAAGTGCAAGAGCATCTTGACAGATGGCGATTATGACTGTAGGATGTCTGTAACTCAATATGAGCTTTATTTTTTAAAAAATAATATTGAAAAACATGTAGGAGGAAAGAAATCAGTTGTTTATCAGAAGGCCTTCATAAAACACAATCTGTCTTCCCAAACAGAACTTCCCCATGTTTAGCAAATCATTATTTGCCTCTGTGCAGCTTCTTACAGCATGATCATGGTTGAAATTTCAGCTGCTTAAAAATGGGTGCTTCTGAATTATGGGTCTGCAACAGGAATTATTCCACCAGCATTATTGTAAACTTTTTTTTTTTGCTGTGACTAAGTAGATTGTGTCAATCACTTATGATTAATTTTGTATTCAACTTTTATCTAAAGAAAAGGGTTTTATAAAGGTGGTAATAGAACGCATATTTAGATACATAGACGAGTCAGGTATATATAACTCGTTTGTCTACATTCAGTAAGAACTAATTATGTAATGTGCACAAACTGAATATTTCAAAGGAACAAAACTTTGCTATAGTACCAAACTGTGCATTACAGAGGACATCTAGGGATTTTTTTTTCTTCTATCCTTATGTTTCTATTTAGATTTGACTATAAAATTGAGTGGATCTATTTTCATATGTATTAGTGTAGAACATCGTCATGCTTCAGCATGATGCTGCTCTGCTTTATGCTGTTAACATAACAGATGAATGCCCAGTAGAATGCCTGTAAATCTGAATCATTTTTTTAAAAAACAGCTTTTTTTAAAAAAGTGTTTGCAGGAACTATGTTTTTCCTCCCACTCTACTTTTTCCCCTTTGTTTTTTTGTATTTTTCAAAATTTTCCTAGTTTCCTAATCTTTAGTGCTGTGGCAGGCTCCACATAAGTAACAAGACCAATTGGCTGTGGAAGAGGCAGCAGTGACACTGAAAACAAATTAAGAAACCAGAGTTATCTATTGCAGTAATTCTGAATAGTAACTGAATAATCTTCTGAAAGAAGTGAGATAATTAAGTTGAGGGCATTGCCTTTTATGAATTATGTTTGAAGGAAGAAAAAAAAGCTCTCATTCAAAATCTTAGCTTAAGCCGTGAACGATCTCTGGTTAAATAATCGGTGCGTGATCCCTTCTTTAAAAGAAACAGAATGATTCTGGTAATTGCCTGATTCTTTGGGGACAGCAGGCACACTTATTTCAGCTTCAGTTAAGAAACTGCCACCCTGTTGGAAAGAACATTGGTCTTGTAACCAATGAAAGCCCATCAATGTAATAGTCTTTGCTCGTACTGATGTTCACCAGCTTAACTAAAAGTACGTGGGGTGAGTTAATGTTTGCAAGGCTTCATGTTAGTGTTCTTTTTACTTCACTGAGGATGACATTGCTCTGCACCGAACAGCTGCTTTGTTCCTTCAGTAAATCCTAAAAGAATCTTGCTTCTTGAGGAAACCTACCACATAACATGAAATTGAGTGCTAAATGTAATTGTGTGCGGGTAATGCTCATTAGGTCTCATTCAGTAATTTCATGTTGGCTGTACTCATGCCCTTCCTAGCGGTGGTGCTTGTGGGCAGCTGAGAGCTGGCAGCTCCAGGATCCCCAGGAGCAGCTCAGGGGAGCAGGAGGGCTCCGTGTGGCACCGGGGTGTGCTGGGAGGGCATCCTGCTCTGAGCCTCAGGGCTGTCCGAATCAAAATCGCTTTCTCCAGAACGAGTTGCTTCATACTCTGCTTCTTCCTAGAGTGCATTCTGTAGTAAAAGTGTGTTGTAGCCATCTAGATTACAGCAGTGTTGCAATACCTGTTTCGTGTGCATGTTAATTGCTAAAATATTTAATGTTTGTGGGTTATAGAAAATGGTTTTATCGTCAGTTTGGTGCCGTGTTGCTCAACTTCTCTCTTCCATTTCCCATGTAGTGTCTAAACATTGAAAATGATAACCTGGCCGAGGTAAGCACAATCACAAGCCCTGAAAGCAAGCCAGCAGAGCTGCACAACGGCTATAATTACTACAGCTCATTACCCATCATGAGAAAAGATGTTAACTGCGGTCCAGATTTCCTGGATAGTATCGAGGGCCCCTTTTCCAGCATTTTGCCACCAGAAGACACCAGCCAGCTGAGTGTGAACTCTTTAAATGACACGTCCCCTGCAAACTCTGATTTCTGTGAGGATTTCTACACCGCATTTATCGATACGAAGGCGAATGGTGACGCAGCAACGACAAACACTATCAGTCAATCACTCGCGGAGATTCTAAGTGAACCTATTGATCTTTCTGATTTCTCACTGTGTAAAGCTTTTAATGGCAGCCACTCAGGAACCCTACCAGAATGTAATGATTCCGACTCTGGTATTTCACTGAACGCAAATTCTAGCGTGGCGTCGCCGGAGCACTCTGTAGAATCGTCTGCCTATGGAGATAAGACTTTTGGTTGCAGCGATTCCGAAATGGAGGACGTGGATAGTGCCCCTGGCAGCGTGCCGCAGAGCAACGCCAGCATGTTCTCACTGCAATTCCAGGATCGAGTGTTCTCTTCCCTGGGGCCAAGCACTCAAACGCCCAGTTTGCAGTGTATAAACACACCAAAGAAAGAACCCCCTCCCAGTCCAGGCCACCCCAAAGCTCCGTTCACGAAAGATAAACCTTCAGGCCGCCTTGAAGCTCATCTCACGAGAGATGAGCAAAGAGCAAAAGCTCTGCAGATCCCTTTTCCTGTCGAAAAAATCATTAATCTCCCCGTTGACGACTTCAACGAAATGATGTCTAAGGAGCAGTTCAATGAAGCCCAGCTCGCACTGATTCGAGATATACGCAGGAGAGGCAAGAACAAAGTGGCTGCTCAAAACTGCCGGAAAAGAAAACTGGAAAATATAGTGGAACTGGAGCAAGACTTGAGTCACCTAAAAGACGAGAAAGAGAAATTGCTGAAGGAAAAAGGAGAGCACGACAAAAGCCTTCGTCAAATGAAAAAGCAGCTAACCACCTTATACCTGGAGGTCTTCAGCATGCTACGTGACGAAGATGGAAAGTCTTACTCTCCCAGTGAATATTCACTGCAGCAAACTAGGGATGGCAACGTCTTCCTTGTTCCTAAAAGCAGGAAGTCAGAGACTAAACTCTGAAGGGCAGCACAGCTGGCTACTGTTCTCCGAGTTAGTATTTTTGTATCATTATCCTGATAGTTTTCACTGTGAGGTGGAATGCAGAATTAGGTAATATTTTTTCAAGTAATTCTATGCAATGATAATTTCAAAGTTGATAATTAGTTTATGGAAGATGCAAGTTTAAAACTAATAGTGGAGTGCAGACGGATGTATGCAAAATTTGTAATCTTACTTTTATAACAGACTCTTTCTTCTTATAGCACCACTTTGACTAGTTTCCGTATACATGTAAATATTTAAAGATACCATATTTATATACTGTTCCTATCTCTTGTTATATTCATAGATTTATTTGATATATATATAAAAAATGATTTTAGCCTTCTAAATATAATTTCTTGCAAGACAGTACGGCTTCTGGTACTTTTTTTATAAATATGCAATAATGTTTGTTTCTCATTTTTCTTACACATTTATACTTGCTTTATATTTAATATATGATTTTAATTTAGTATAAAAGATGTTTGATTTTGATTTATCAGTTCATTAAAGTTGGTTTTTTTTTTTAACTCTATATGTATTTATTTCCCTATAGAAGGGAAATCCTGACTAGTTTTCCAAGGCTAAGTCTTCATGTAACAAACGCACTTAATAACCAGAGCTGTATCCCCAGCATTGTCAGCGCTGCTCAGGCTTCCTGCAGCATAATGTTAACTGCTCCTTGGAAGGATTGTGTGACAAAGTAAGTTTCAAGTCTCTGCTAAGTTTACATAAGTTTTGTTTTGCTCTTTGAACACTACTTAAATTCATGATGAGAGCTTTCCTCCAAAAGCCTTTAAAATCTGTTCAGGCAGACATTGTTGGCATTATGTGTTTTTCCAACTAAAAATCGTTCTAGAAACACACTGTATCTCTGACTTCGATCAGGAAGCAGCGTTTGTGGCTGTGATTACTTTGGAGCTAATTGGAAAAGACACACACGTACTGCCAAGCAGCTGCACTATTTGGAACCTGGGCTTGATTATCTGAAGAACGTGTGGTGTTTAAATTATGATTTATAAGAGAATAAAAATTGGGCTAATTAATAGCAATGTTTTGTTTACTCTTCTCAAAGGGACTCTGTACTTGATCATTATGGAGTTTTTGAATACAGAAAATGCATAATTTTTAATTTGAAATACACATTGATCTGAACAATAAAAACTGCATCATCTTCCTATGAAACTTCTAAAGGCATGTTTAATCTCAAAATGTTTTTTATGCCACTGGTGCTCGATATCATTTTAGGAATATTTTGTCTATTACAACATTATGCATAATTTCATTTAGTATAATAAACACCAAGTTGTTTTGCAAGAGCTTATTGTACCTTTGTTTTTAAATTATTTTTTAAAAGAAGGAACTGCAGATGCTGACAAAGGGTAGAAGTAGGGCCCCACAAGGATTGTTTAATAATGTTGTAGGAAAAATAATTTAAAGCAAGACATCAGATTAGAATACCAGCCCAAAGTTAGAGTAATGCTAAATACAATTATATGGTTGTTGGTGTTCAGTCCTGAGATTCCTCTTTCTCAAACTGTTGACCCACGCTGGAGTTGCCTACCCAGCAGAAAGCAGCTCGGCTCCCGGCTGGCCATGGAAGCCAACAGAACAACTTTAGATCACCCCAATCCCAAACCGTATCCCTTTCTATGGACCTGCCCCGGGTACCTAAAAAAGGCACAAAGAGGAAAGTTTGGGGCCTAATACAGGAGCCATAGTGCTGATGGATGTTACTCAGTTCTGGGATGCTGTGGAAGGGTTCCTGCCTTCAGCTGTTGTGTGCTGTTTGCTGTTCTCCTGCAGCAACTCCTCCGGTGCCTCCACACCCTTGCCTGCACAGCGGGAACTACCCTGGAGCCTGCTCTTTGGTGAGTCCCAGTTTTGCTTTTCTTGTTAACTCCTGTACAGATTCTGAGTGGCAGAGGCCGCTCTAGGACCTGATGCAAACTCTGTCTCCTGCTGCTGCTGCAGCGCAGGCTCAGGAGAGGGGAGCAGGGATGGCTTCCCCAGGAAGGTGGCTTTGCTCCAGGGCAGTGCAATGCCCGGCCCCTTACATCGAGTAGTAACAGTTGCATTTTTGCAGAAAACAGCAGGAAACAGGAATCCAGGTGATCCAACTTGCAGTTTGAGGCTGCTTACCTTGTTTATACTGACCTCCTGCCCTGCTAAGGGCCTGTCCCTCCACAGGCTATGAATGCAAGAACGTTCCTCTTCTTGGAACCAATCCCAAAAAATACCAGTGGTTGAAAACCTTAGAGGCTGGATGTGATGGACAAAGCAGATTTATTTGCTCTAAACAGGCAGGGCAGGCAAGCACCAGCTAAATTAAATCTAAGCTATTGCAGCAGCAAAGGAAATTTTTCTTGCTGCTGTTCAAATGTGCCTCTGTGGGCTTTGCCACCAGCACTGCCCGGGGCAGGGAACACCCCTTCCAGCCACCAAGCGTGGGCAAAACACAGTGAAACAGGAGGATCTAATCCATATTTGAGGATGGCAGTTTGGGAGTATAAGCATTGAGGAGGAGGCACACAGAGCCATGGCCCTGGCGAGCGTTTCCCCAGAGACAGAGAGCAGCACTAACACGGGTAGGGCTGATGGCAAAGCTCCTGGGTCCCCACCACCACCTCCATTATCTCGGCTATCAAATGTCTCTGACTTACAGAGAAAATGTTCTCTCTAGCTGTAATACAGACTGGAATTACAAACGGGCTGTGAAACAGTCGTCCTTATTTCAGCACTAAGAGGAAAGCCTGGGGCAAACGGCACCTCGTGGCCTTTGGGGGCTGTCACGTTTGTGCCTTCCCTGCCCGAGATGAACAGCACCAAACACACCCTGCACTTAGTGCAGAAGCCTCTTTTGATTCCACTAGGAAAGAATCAGCCTGAAGTAACTGGGCCCACAACGGCTCACATTCAATTTAAACCAGTATTTCTCATCCCAGCACACAGTGATGGTTGCACTCGCATCAAAACTCCCCACCTCATTAAGGAAAAAAAGAAAATATTGCACCTTAGATGACTTCGATATATGTGAAAACATCAGCTCGCAAATGATATCCTGTATTTTATTATTGTTATTACTGAGGTACAGAGTACGTTCCCAAACCTGAGCGTGACTAGTGCCATGGCCAAGTCTCCCGTATGACAGTGCAGACCTTGGACACGGACACGTCTCCCCCTGGAGACCATTCCTGCCTTGATCCAAACATGCAGCTTTTAAAAGCGTTATAAGCACAGCCGCGGAGCTGGGCAGAGCCAAGGTCCTCTGCCCTGCAGTCCCGGGGTGGAACGGCGCTCCCTCCCGTACCTGGGAGGGTGTTGCAGTGACCGCAGAGGGCTTTGTGTTCCACACAGCACTAAAAAAAGGTGAGGGCAACGCATTTGAGATTGTAAGTCATTTGACAACATACACTTTATTCTGATACAAAATTGAAATATTTTAACAAATTTCCATCCATTATGGACTATACTGACATTTTTAATTTCCATGCTATTTTTAAACTTGTTTAACCACAAGTTTTAAGATTGCAGTGCACACTAGCACCATTGCTCTTCAAGTCTTTGCCAGTTATTTTAACATATTATTCTGTTTCCAATCTTGCGATATTATCTTCTACATGAAGGCCATTTTTCTTCTACGTAGATACTTGGAATACTTTAGTTCAGGAAAAAGCTAATCTTAGAGAGAGATGTCAACCTGTAGCACCCACAGCAGAAAAAGAATCATCCATCAGATATCTGAATTTTGGTGACACTCAAGATCTTTCATGCTCCATGAAACTTAAGATACAGACACTTGTCAGAGACCACAGACTGGTACGTAGGGAATATTCCATGGCAGCGTAGACAGTGTATGAAAACACGGTCATGTCTTAAACACGGGAACCACAGACAGCACGTCAGTACATCACACCATCAATGCTTGAACGACCAGGAGCATTCATTCCCCTTCCCACCTTGCACATTTGAAGGACATCAAAGTTAAGACGCCGTGTTTCATTTCAGTGTTACAGAAACAAAATACTTCTCACATCTGCACCAACCTGGGCCCCTTTTGGAGAAATACATTTTTTACTACCTGGACGTACCATTTACTTTTCGATTAAGACACCGGTTTACGTATCAAACCAACTTCCACACAACTGCAGCTTAGGGCCCAGCGCCTCGTTAACTTTACATCTTCACATCTCCATCTACATTTAGAGCTGCTGTTCCAACCGCAGCCGCTACAGAGAGAGGTAGCCGTGAAACAGCGTTCTTAACTCTTGGAACTGCCTCTTGGACAAAGATACACTCGACCAAGCACTCCTTAAGGATGTGTTTAGCTTTGACAAGGTTAATTCCTGAATCAATTGGGGTATGAATAATTGAAATAAAGCAAATTAGTCTAACGAGAGTGTTATAAATCCAAACGTGAAAATAATTCTAACAGTGAGTATCTAGATCTGACCGTGCTGCGAAAAGCCCCCTCCAGAGCACAGAACCCATCTGCAGCAACGCACAATCCTCTCCTGGTAAGACAGAGCAAAGCTCTACACAGGCCTAGCAGCAGCTGCAAACTGGAAAGGTTTTTGTTAAAACTTACTTTCATTAAAACATTGTCAAGATTTTGCTATTAAAAAAAGTGTAACGTTCCCCCTCCCGTCAAGTACAAAAGCGTTTGCCCTGAAGGGAGAAGGCCCAGGACACACCAATGCTCCTCCCCATTCCCTGCTGCTACAGGGGGTGCCCCAGGGAGCTGGGGAGAAGCAGAGGTCTCCACTGCTCCTTGTCACCTGGGCGCCAAGCTGTGAGCACAGGGCCCTGCGGGGTGACTGTGACCTCACTGCAGCACCCTGACACCTGGGCTCAACCTCGGCTAACCAAAAACATTTGTCAACTTTTTTTAAAAATCCCTGTGGCCACTATGAGATTCCCATGAAGTAACTCCTGATTTTATGAAAATCTCAACATTTCCATTGCAAATTGCTTCCAAATTAACTTTTAGTTGTGTGTCACAACATCAAAAGAGTTTGCTTTTTGGATGTTTACAGACAGCAGGTGACAAGTGTAAACACTCCAACCCACCTGTGAACATCCCAAAGCTGAAATGCACACGTTCCATTTGACTTTGTTTTCTGAGTAACCGAAGCAAAAGCAACACCAAAATAGAAATTGACTTCACAAAAATAACGCACAGACTCAAAAACGTATCAGCAAGTTCAGGCAGGCACCGGACTACTACCATACAAAAGGAGTTTAAGATACCCCAGACCTGGAACAACCAAAGACGAAGAAGAGGAAATACATGTTCCAAGAGTTAAGAACCAACATGTGGAAAAGCAGATTCCATGAAAAGTTCTTTTCTGGCCATTTGTCAGTATAAATGCAGCTGTGCTTTCAGCTGGGTGCCACGTGACAGGACCAGCCTCCACGAGCCCACCCTGCCTGAAAGCACCAAACACCGGAACGTCTGAAAATCAACTGTTGGAGATTTGTAGAGATAAATCCAAACCCACCTGGTAAGCCAAGGCTCATTTATCGGGAGGGAAGCCCCTGCTCTAACCAACGCAAAGTGCCTTTACAGACTTTCTGCAGCAGCAGCAGCGTGTCACACGCTGCCGAGAACCGTGAGGAACCTCTTCAGTGTCTTCAGCGCTGGGTTTCTGCAGGGCTTCTCTTTGTACGACAAAGGTAACCAACAATTTCTCTCCAACCCCCCCAGTGGCAACGGGGGGCGGGCATTTCAAAACATGTATCATTTCTGTCTTGTCGATCTCAGACACACAGCCACTTTGTACCTGGCAGGAACAGAAGACTGCGGGGTAGCGACCGCGCCAGCAGCAGCCCCCAGCCAGCGCAGGGAGGGCTGGACGGCCCCCGCTGCCAGACTCGCTCCTTAGGCTTAAGGCTTTCCCCTCCACACTAAAAGGCTGGCAAAGGAAAGCCTAAAAGGAAATAAGGGTTAAACAAGTGTTTTACTAAACACTACAGATCTTACCCAGTCAGAAACCTTCAATTGAAGAGGATGTGCAAGACATTCCCCATTTTGTCAAGCAGCAGCTTCTCATTCAACCTGAAAATCAAAGAAATTACTCTTACCTTGTTTAAAAACCTCCCGCTACTCTTTATAATTCATGAAAAATGTTAAAGGCAAACCTTACCTATGCTCATTGCCCTTCCTTTCAGGTCTAAATGCTAGACCTATTGATTTTGAGTCAACTCAAGTAGCTATCACTCAAGGAGGTTCCAAAAGGTGCAGAACTCTTGCTAGACTTTCTTCGATATTTCAGCTGTGACCAGCAGATTAACTAGCCTTTGGGAAGCTGCTCACTATCAGCCACAGTATCTTATGCCTTCACTTTTCTGGAAGTTGAAGCTGTTGCTCCTGCTGCCTTGTCATTCTGCAATTATGCTGGCTGACTTCTCCATACTCAATAGGCTGCTGAAGTCCTGTCTTATGAGTCTCCTTAGCAAAGTATGGGTCAGAGAAGTACATCCTAGGTTCTTTAGAGCTGGTTAAGCACTGTCCTCACGCTTTTCCACGTCACAAACACCAGCTAAGCTACCCCACCCACCTACACAGCCGTCACTTACATCCATCTCTTAAAAGGTTGCATACAGATCTTGTTCATAAAGTTTATTATGACACTATTTTGCAAAGTTAACATTGTTGTCACAGTACAGCTACAAGAGGCCCTGTTAAAAAGAACACTGTCAATACATTCTAAAAAAAAAAATAAAATAATAATTTAGGAACACCAGATCAATTGTCAGAAGGGACATCAACCCCATCCTCCAGTTGTCCCTGCAACCAGGTGCAGGCCCCAGGTACAAGTCTACACATCTTCTAAGCGCAGTAGCGTAACAAAGCAAGTCGGTGGCTGGGTGGCTGGCTCCCTAGGGAGTTGTGCTTTAGTTTCCGAGGTTTTCAAACTCCAAATGGGTTGTTTAAAAAACGCCTTTATTGAAATACAACCTGCCCCCCCCCCCCAAGTACATCCTAGGTTCTTTAGAGCTGGTTAAGCACTGTCCTCACGCTTTTCCACGTCACAAACACCAGCTAAGCTACCCCACCCACCTACACAGCCGTCACTTACATCCATCTCTTAAAAGGTTGCATACAGATCTTGTTCATAAAGTTTATTATGACACTATTTTGCAAAGTTAACATTGTTGTCACAGTACAGCTACAAGAGGCCCTGTTAAAAAGAACACTGTCAATACATTCTAAAAAAAAAAATAAAATAATAATTTAGGAACACCAGATCAATTGTCAGAAGGGACATCAACCCCATCCTCCAGTTGTCCCTGCAACCAGGTGCAGGCCCCAGGTACAAGTCTACACATCTTCTAAGCGCAGTAGCGTAACAAAGCAAGTCGGTGGCTGGGTGGCTGGCTCCCTAGGGAGTTGTGCTTTAGTTTCCGAGGTTTTCAAACTCCAAATGGGTTGTTTAAAAAACGCCTTTATTGAAATACAACCTCCCCCCCCCCCCCGCCCCAAGCCCAAATTAGTATGTACAACAACAGAAGCGTTCACTAAATCACCAATTCTCGCTTTCGCTTTAGAGATATTTTAAAACTCCACAGAAAAGAATAAGCAGACTTTGAAATCCAGTTTGGAGGCTACCATCTTGACACCGGTTCCTTGGTTTAGTGTACTGCGGTCTACATACACTCCAATAACAGTGTTTAAATAACAATGTTTAATTTTTTTTTTTTTCAAACAACACACTCATTTTTCTGCTACTTCTTAAAATTATAATTCATTATTATATATGACTGATTATGCCTTGAGCCATTCCATACATCTTTGCAGATTCATTCCTACACTGGAATCGCATTTACCTTATACTGCACATTGACCCAGCAGTGAAACAGGTGTGAATAATTCCAATAGCACATTGTCAAGTGTCTGAGTATTTCTTCTATTGCCTGGGCCCCTACTCCTCTGAGTCTGAGCTGACAGAAAGCACTGTCCTGGCAACAGTCGAGAGAGAATTCGCATCAGCTGAGGAAAGGACAGACTGCAGTGCCTTAATTTGGAGGTCAGAAGTGAGAATGAAGTACAATTTCTAGCCACATGTGCTGATAAGATTTGCTACTCCAGTGCATCAAATCCAGTGGTAACACACTATGGTTCTGCCTGTGGCCACTCAAGCCCGTACCGACAGGGTGGGAAGTGTTTCTAGTCGGTCAGGTACAGCTACATGGCGTCTGGTTTCTCTTCCAGCTCTGAGCTGAGCGCAGACATTGGCAAGGGAAAAAAAGCTTGAGAACTAGACTACTTAGAGCCCATGGTCAGCGGGCTTTTGGAACGCGTTACCTGGACTGTCAGTGATTACACCTGTGCTACCCTTGGCTCCCAGTCAGAAGAATGTGTCCAGAAAATTGCCTAGGGTGCATGCAAGAAAGTATATAGCCATTAAGTTATTGAGGAACATACCTATTACTCTCACTATGACACCTCGTTTAATTGAAACAGCGCAGTCTGGTGTGAGGGAGAGGGAAACGGGGACAAAGGAAGGGGATGAAAATTCCAAGCCGCCCTCCCCCAAGTATAGTTTTATTGAAACAGAATCATTGTATATCCCAAGGAAACAGGCACTTGATTCCCCCCACCTTAACTTCTCGGGAAGTACAATAAATATAAAGGTAAAAAGCAAGTTTCTTTTTCTCTTCACCCAAGACTGAAGCGACTGCAGTTAATCCCTCAGACATCTCAAATGAGACGGGAGACAGCTTTAATGTGTCTAAAGTTGGTCTTGTTAAAATATTTATCATGCCTTATTTTCTTGAAGCGCTAGTACTAATACAGAACTACAAATTAAAAAAATATGCACAAACCAAAAAGTAATTTGAAATTTTCATTAAGGTAAAGCTTAGTTCTATAATTCACAAACACTAATTTGAGTAACTCAATCCTAGTTATACATCTAAACAAACTATAATGCAACATACAGATGTTTTCCCTCTGTATGCCTATGTAACTCATGTCAATGACAGTTACATATATACACTGAGACTAGACCCCTTAAGACTGCAAATCAATAGGTGTTTCTATTGTTAACTTTAAATTAATACAAAATAGTAATTGAGAAATGCATTAATCCTCTCTATTAACTAACAAGGAAACACCCTAAACTACATTTTATTTCTGTTATAGAGTTCTCTGTACTAAATGTGGAAAAACTGAACTACACAAATATTGAAAAGTTAAAAATTCCTTAATTTGTTTATTCCTGGTACCACTACCACAATTTACAGGGCAATATACCTGATGTAATGGGAAAATAAAAAGAAAAAAGAAAGACAAAGCTACAACAGATAAAGACCTCAGGAATGTACATCTAATCGACACTACATTGCATTAATCAATAGCTGCACTTTTTGCAAACTGTGGCTATGACAGTCCTGAACAAGAAGGGTTTCCTGTTTAAGCTGCGGTAACTTTTCTGACTATGGATCATCGTTCCTTCTGTGGCAGATTTTACAGTTCCTCTAATGCATTTGGGACGACTGTCTCAAAGTAACCTGCAGCTTTCCTGACAACTCCTCGCTCTCTCTCCTGCTAAGAACTGTAGCCTGTTGAATACAGGATAAGAAAATTATTACTCTCAGTGCACAGTTGTACATTATTAATCATCATTAGAAATATGCATTACACCTACCCTTTTTCTGGTAGCATTTTTAGAATCTTCTACCACCATAGCCCCCACTTCCACTTCCAGATCCATAACCACCTACAAAAAACAGGGCAGACATTGAAATACAAGAAGAGTAAAAAAGTTTAACCCCCCAAATATTTGCGGTACAAAATCCTATTTACCACCATAGGGACTGCCTGAACTTCTGCCACCAAAGCTGCCACCACCTTTCATGGGACCATAGTTGGATTGCTGTTGTCCACTGTAATTGCCAAAATCATTGTAGTTTCCACTGCCACCATAATTACCTGAAACAAATGCGGATTTATAAAGCCACTTATGTTCAACACTTAGGACATGAAGCTTGCCAAATTACGACATCCAACGTAAATGTCATTGTTCAAAACAATTTAAAAAAGAATTGCAAGCATTTTGCACGCTACCTCTAACTCACAATGCACAAGTGACAGAAGACCCTTAGCATTTGGAAGATTAGAAACTGGTATTTCATTGAAGGTGAAAAACATCACATGACATTAGAAAATTTACACAGATTTGAGTAGGCAATTTTGAAGTTAAAACAATAGACCAAATTTAAGGCATTCAAACTTGCAAAAGCACAGGTTTCACCATCATTATTCCACTGCCCAACGATTTGCACAACAATAATGTAAACTACATACAATTTATCTGCTCCAAAAAGTGACAGAATTGTAACGGACACGCTGCATATACACATCAGAGGGTAGAATAAAATATGCAGTAGGTTCTGCAGCTTAACTCCCCAAACCTGCACTAGCTCTTGGCACGTTCTTACTGCTCCTTCTCCAACAATTCTAGTCGTGCACCTAAGCTAGTTTTGTATTTGTGGGGTACCCTTACCAGAAACATCCTCTCCATCATTAAAGACCTCCACAGAAGTTACCCCAGATTAAAAGATTAGCCTTATCGTTCAGAAATCCCTGCAGGGAAATTAATACTGATAACATAGAACACAGCTAAACTGATCATACAACAAGATGTAGCTAGATGTATTTTGGTTAGATATTAACCTACATTTTAAATATACTTGTCAAGGGTCTACACTGGCTAAGACTTTAAAACAGGATTACAACTATGTGATTTCCAGTTAGTCTAATTTGAGTGTGTAATTGACAAAAGAACTGTTTTATAAAAATAACTGAAGTAGGTCATTTCACAGGCAAACAATAAAAAAGCTTATAGAAACCTAGATGTGCAGTCCTCACCAAGGAGGATGTGATCTACATGATGTGAACTGGTATCTGACAACAACAGCGACACTTCAAATGGTCAGATTAAAAATCCTTCTTCTCTCCCTCCACACATAGGTTTATAGCTGCTGTTTTTTTGAAAAATAAGTTCGTGGCAAAACAATGTTGTATATAGTGTATTAAAGCTGATCCAGAGGGAAAAGAACTTTCCTTATGGAACAGAGCATTCTGCTAAGACCTAATTGCATTAACTCATTGCATGCAGTATCATACTTTAGGCATTGTACAACTCAGACCTTACTAAAAACATAGAACTCTACTTAAAGCTGGCATCTTACCACCACCGAAATTTCCTCCTTCGTTGTAGCCATCATATCCTCCTCCTCCACCTCCATATCCACCACCTGGGTTTCCATATCCTGGTCCTCCACCACCACCATAACCTCCTCTGCTGCCATACCCAGGACCACCTCCATAGTTGCCACCTTTGAATAAAAGAAGAACCAAACTGAGCACATTCAAGCTAAATATCGGTAAGAAAAGGTCCCTTTAAAAACAAACAAGCAAAAAAACCAACAAAAAAATACACAGTAAAAAAAAAAATCTCCCACAATGTTTTCCTCGTACTATATTCATTGTGGTTGAATCATTTATGGAAACTATTTAATCAATTAAAAAAAAATAAATTAGTTAAGGTATACCGTTGAAGCACGACACTTAAAAGTTCATTCTGGCTCACAGAAAATACACAGACCTGCTGCTACCACCCCTATTAGATGTAATTACTGCCTCTTTACACAAATGGTGGTGTCAGTACTGTGAACGAGCCTCTCTATTCCTCTGAACTGAAATGACTCATTAGGCAAAGCCCTCAAAAGAATTCTGTTTTACAGTTTTTATCTAGACATACAGCTTCATTTACATCTGTGTCAAAGCTACTGGACGTTATTTTTTTCTGATCATGTAAAGCACATCTGAAAGACTTAGTATTCCAGATGCTGACTTGGTCTCAGATATTTTGTTGGAATAACTCCCAACTAGGAAATGGTTCCAAAGGACTCAACATCCCTACCTGCCTACAGAATCAGGACATAAATAACTACGTGCCACTTCCCTTGCTCCCCATCCCCTCCCCAAATGCTACTTTCACCACCATTTGGTAATGTCCACAGTTCACAGTTCTCTTCAGATGCACTTCAGATACTCATTCAAACTTCATAATGAAAAAGATACTACCAAGCCATGAAAAGTCTTACAGCTGATTGAAAAGATATGTTATCTTAGTTGGTCACTGCTTTATTCAGTTTCAGTCATCTTAATTAACTGACATTAGAATCTTCGTTTAGTTCTCAATCATCATAAACAGCATGAACTCATGAGATGAGGTTATCTAAAGGGTACATATAAAGGAGTATTTTTTCCCACCCATCATTTTGTGGGGAAAACAAAAAACCTTTAACTGTTCCCAGCCCTACAGTGTAGAAAACATCACCAAAGCAGACTTGATTTCCAAGGTGAAGACAAGACTTACGGCTGGTTATAACACTGGGTGAAAAAAACCAGAAGCGAACAATACACTTACCATCACCAAATCCATTGTATCCGTCACCACCCCCAAAGCTTCCTCTGCTCCCACCACCGCCACCACCACCCCCATAGCCTCCTGGAACACAAAACAGATGAGAATGTTTTCCTGAACACACGTGTTAAGTGTTTAAGCCAACTGACACAGGAAATAAAAAAATAGAAATCACATTCTATACAAACATTCCAGTCATTTACCTCTTCCACCAAAGTTTCCTCCTCTGCCAAAATTCCCTCCACCGCCTCCGAAGTTTCCACGACCCATGAAGTTGCCTGAGCCACCCCCACGGCCTACAAAATATTTTGCTTTAATTACATCAATTGAAAGCCAGTTACATAAAATAACCACGCACAACTCCAAACTCACCTCTCTGAGAGCTGGCAGTCTGCATCTCTTGTTTTGAGAGTGCTTTTTTCACTTCACAGTTATGTCCATTTATAGTATGGTATTTCTGAACTAGAGAAAATTGTGAAATAACAAAGAATTAGAAAATCAAATAATTGAAACCAATAGGTTCTAAACTCCCATAGAAAGTTATTGTAAGGCTTCCAAAAGGAACATTAAATCTACCCCACCTCTTATATTAGCCAAGCAGTTGATTATGACAACATCTTACATACTGACACCATAAGAACAACACTGCTGTCCTGAAATCTAATGATACACTTATCCCAGAAGACATTTCTCCCTAAGGAGTTACATACCAACAATTTTATCAACTGTATCGTGATCATCGAAAGTTACAAAAGCGAAGCCTCTTTTCTTTCCGCTTTGCCTGTCTTCCATGACTTCTATGGTTTCAATCTTGCCATATTTTTCAAAGTACTCCCTTAAATTATATTCCTCTGTGTCTTCTTTAATTCCACCAACAAATATTTTCTTTACTGTGAGATGTGCTCCAGGCTTTACAGAATCCTACAACGCCAAAAATGACACTCAGTGTTTGACATTATTAGGTAAAAATCAGGAAATAAGGTTAACCGAGATACTTAACTCACCTCCCTCGAAACTGCTCTCTTTGGTTCAACCACCCGTCCATCGACCTTATGTGGTCGAGCACTCATGGCAGCATCCACCTCCTCCACACAAGAGTAAGTGACAAAGCCGAAGCCTCTGGAACGTTTTGTTTGTGGGTCTCTCATCACCTGCAACAACATAGAGGGTACTCTGCATTGCTGTACTAGATTAAGTACCTATATCCTTCCAAAGGCACAAACTAATATTTGACACTTTACCACACAGTCCGTGAGCGTGCCCCATTTTTCGAAGTGCTCTCTCAAGCTGTCATCTGTTGTTTCAAAGCTCAGGCCTCCAATGAACAGCTTTCTCAACTGCTCCGGCTCCTTTGGCTCATGGCCCTACAAAATAAAAAATCAAAAACATATTTTGAATACAAATCACAAACCTGAAATTTCACAGAATTTCTAAAAATTATCTGTGCACGTTTTAACTACAAATAGGTAAATACATTTACGTAAAAACAACTTCTAATGGGTTAAGACAGCAGCATAGTAAACACTTAATGAGGTGTGATTTTAATTAAAACACTAACTAACTAACAACTTAAAAGTGCTCAAATGCAAACAACACTAAAGAGATTTCAATACACTAAATAATTTGGTTGCTCCCCCCCCCTCCGGAAGTGCATTCATTTTATGCCTATCTTATGTTCGAGTTGTGTATTGCTCTGTAGGGATCAGCAATGAAGCGCTGCTAGATAAAGGGAAGTTTAACACTTTATGAAGCACAATCATGAGGAACTATAAAAAAACACTTTAAGAACACAGTGTACAAAAAAAAGAGGTTATTGTCCAAACGGAGCATCTAGTCTTTTGGGATATCCATTTTGAAAGGTTATTTTCAAGCATGTTGAAGAAATTTATTGATTCTTAATTAATTAAAATTCTGTATTTTGTACTTGGATAGTTTTTTAAGTTGAATGCATGCAAGCAAGAAAGAAGAATTACATATGAGGTTTTCAGTGTTATGGGAAATACCTTTTAAATGTGAATCGACATGGACTTTTGTCTTACAGACAAAAAACCATCTTGAATAACAATGAATCAATGACCAGTAGTACCAACTACTGGGATAAGACTAGTACCTTAACATGCATCGTAAAACTAACCTAAGTTTAACTGAAGCTCTTGACAGTACCACCTATATATGAACAGCCACGTTTTAAAATGAGCTATTTTTCAGAGTCCAGTTTTCTATAGCATGAATTAAGAGGGCTTACAAGTGCATTAGTGTTTCTGCTCTCTTTCAGTGTTGCATGTTTTTTTAGTTAGGCAGGGAGTATTCTGCCACACATTTAACAGGAGTTTATGCAAAACTATTTTACAACTTTCTCCCATCCCCAAGACAGAGAAGTCTTACAAAAAGCAACCAAACTAAAATCTTATTGAGCAAGCTGGTACATCTGTGCCTGTAGAACACTGCACAACAAGTGGCTGGCTAGCTATGCTGCAGGTTGCTTCAATTCTGCAGCATGAACGTGTAACAGGCTTCACTGCTGCTGCTGCAGTGGGTCAACCTAGACAAGATGCAGCATTAGCCTGAGAGCTGAACTACACAAAACCAGCCACAGACTTCTACATGTAGATATCTTGCTTCAAACCCAAAGGTGAACTACTTTAACCTTGCCAGTTTAAACAGAGTGGGTGGTGGTCCTAGGACTGGCCAGAAAAGCATACGTCCCTTTGAGTGCAAGACAATCACCCTAAAGAGCAATTAATATTGTGAAGCAATATGTGGCAAAAAGAATTTCTGAATTACATACTCCTTTAGTAAACCATAGATTTATAATGTTCAAGTTGTACTACAGGGAAAAAATGACTAGATTATGAAAAGCTGTCTGGGAAGTAGACCCTGCTCTTACACCTGCTAAACCTAGCAAGGAAGAGCCCTAGCATTCATAGTAACAACTCTCTATTTAAATCACTAGCTTTGTCACTACAGGAACATTACATTAAGTGACTAACAGTCAATGGTTCTGTGACTACAAAGTAAAGTTTCTTTTCTGTGGTCTCCTAAGTGGTCTGGACTCCCCTCTAACTATACATAAGCTTAAACTCTTACAGGATAACACATCTACTGTATCCAGAAAATATTGTAGGTTAAGTGAAATACTAGTTTCTGTTGCTAATTGCATTTTATTTTTAATTTACTGACACTACCTAATTTTTAGCTGGGTTTTGTTAAAACTGGGAACATTAAATGTTTCAAACCCTCCTGCACATACTAAGAGAAAATTTATTACACAAAACTGTAAAGTTTAGACTTCTCCAAAACAATAAACCTATAAGGAAAAATTAGACAGACTTTTCACAGTTCTCTGACACACCTCAAGGTTTACAGGGTTCCAGCTGGCAACTGCTTTTACCTTCAAAGAATGACCACAGAACTTTTCAGGTCACTCCTGAAAGGAAAAGTTAAGTCCTTTTCTACTTATTTTTATTATGTGCACATGAAGTGATGTTCTCATGTGGGAAGAAAACACCTGCTGTTATATCTTCTCTCTTCTATCGGAGAGAAATTATCCTCCAATAGAACACTTCACAGAAATAAAAGATGACATTTTCTTAGGGAATTATTTGGTTTTTTCAGGCATCTTGTTCTCACTGGGGATAAGAATCTCTAGGGTTTTCAGAACGCTGTCCTCTATCACACAAGATGTTGTTTCTCAGTCCTTCCGCTCCAAGTTAGTTATAACAAGCACTCTCTCCTGGGCAGAAAACCCTGCAGCACAGATCTCTCCCTTCTTCCCCAGCTACCACATTGCTTCAATAAGATCAGCAGGCTCCCTCCCTCCCTCCCTCCCACTCAGCTGACGCTGCGGGCCAGCACGCCATTTTGCAGTACTCCTTCGGTCGCGGGAAGGAGGAGGGGGAGTAGCGGTAAAAACGCCCAGCCTGCCTGCAGCCAGCAAGCTGGCAACCAGCGCTGTTCCTGCCCTTAAGCAGCTCAAGAGACTCCCCAAACATATTAAAGGGCTCTGAGGAGGCGGGGAACTTTCCATCCACACCTTTGACTAGCGACTTCCTCCCTTAAGCCAGCGCTCTGCGCAGCACCGACCGCCGCCATTTTGTGAGCGACCTCGTCTCCTCCACCCTCAATATGGCGCCGGGGGCGGAGCGGGAAGGCGCGGGCGCGCAGCAGCGCCGGCCACGTCCCCGCGCCGCAGTGGCGCCATGGGCGGCCCCGCGGGCGGGCAGGGAGCGGCCGGGGACGCGCCCGGCTCCCCTCGACGGCCGGGGGTTTCGGATACTCGGCCCTTTGGAGTTTCCTTTGGCATTTCCCTCCAAAAGAAGCGTTTTCAGGCGGAGCGCTCCCCTGCATCGCATCGCGCCGTGCCTCCCCGCAGCGCACCCGCGGCTGCACCCGCCCGGCCGGGCTGCTCTGCCCCGGGAACCGCACCGCAACCCGGTCCTCACCGCACTTTCTCTGCCAGACCTTTTCAGCTAGAAACTTAATAGCTTTTGATACATTCCGGGGCAAGATACTTTTGTAACCACAAGAGCGACCCCAGTTACATTCTATCCAAAGCCCAAAGTTCCTCGCAGGAGGCCTTCACACACCGTGCTTCCATACACAATAACCACGGGCGATGCGGCCCACGCAGCCCGCACACGGCGCGCTCCTCACCCCCGCCTACAGCCCCTCCCGCACTGCAGCGCCGCACCCTTCCACACAGAGCTGGTTTGAGAGAGCTAAAATACTCAGGCACCCTGGGAAAGTCATATTAGACAGCAAACAAATAAAAATAAGCAATCAGAAAGTGTCTCAGTGATAAGCTACATAACCATAGCGAACACCCTCTCTGCTGGTCTTAAAATTGAGTTTACTTTCTGAAGGGTGTCAAGACTTTTTATTCCCCCCTCCCGTTTCCACACCCTGCCCCAAAGTATCTAGCTCCCCTCCGCCCAGAACAGCCCCAACATCTTCTCTATACTACGCACCTTATTCAGTCTACGGTATTTCTGCTAGAAGCAAAAGAAAACAGTTATTTTTACTTAGTACAGCCTCGCTTTCATTTGCAGTGACTTTTAGGCAACCATTAAAAAAAAAAAGAAAAAAAAAAGAACCTGTCTTCATTCCCACTAGAAACAGGACTTTGAAGATAGGATGGAATAAAGTTTCTGCTGATACTCTGAGGATGCATGAATTTCTTAAAAAAAAAGTTACACCTTGCTTGCATCACAAACCTACATGTAATCAGTCTTCTAACAAAACACTAGTAAAGCAAAATTTTCTTATTATGCTTAACACCCCACCCCTTAAAACTGTAATATACTACAACTTAAAGTTACTAATACGGGGATGAAGAAGGTAGAAAAACATCTATGAATTAATACATTAGACAGAAATGGTAAAGGTTTTTTTTTTTAAATCTTTTCCCCTTAAAGCTACTTTTTAAAATAAAAAATAAAACACAATCCTCTCACCTGTGAGGATCGTCTTCCTTTCCTCTTGTAGTCCTCCACGTCTCTCTCTTCCTTAAGAGCAGCCATTTTGGAAGGGTACTCTAACTCGGGCTGTCTTTTAGACCTAGGAAACCTAGAAAACAGGTTGGATAAGTCAGTACTTACCCCAATTCCTGTGCGGCGGGGCCTTCTCTGCCTGCAGCCCACGGGTGTGGCTTTACTGGAGGAAACGTGAAGGGGGGTGAAAGTAGAAAAAGAAAAAAGCAGCATTTAAAAGGGTAGAGTAAAAATCCTCAGCCTATTCCATCACCGTTAGGAAGAGCTGCAGAAGGAACATTTGCTATCCTACAACTGTTGGAATAACTAGGTACAACCTAAAGCTAAAATCTGTAGAAAACAACCCATGTCAATTACTGTCTTGCATAACTATCGTGAATACAACTGGTACAGGGCAAACAAATTCCATCTTTGATACCCAAACCCACTACATAAATCAAATTCTACTTCTCTAGATTTTAAACCCAAAAATACTTAACATTTTGCAAATATTGCTTATCAGAATTATCTTATATGTAACCTATTGTAATCAGTGACCCAGCAGCCTACAAAACTGGAACATTAGATGTGTTAAATGTTTTCTGTATTGGAAAATATTTTCCACTAACACCAGTGTAAGAATCCTTTACTGATTCTATTCTTGCAACATCAGAAATTTTAACACTTGATCCTCAGCAATCTGTAGCATTAGCCGTCTGCATTACTTTTGCTTCCAAGTGATAGATTTGATTACTACCCTGTACTATTTACATGCCCAACTTTTCAAAATAAACCTTAACAAAGTTAATATATCAGTACTAAAATCAAGTATTTCACAACATAAATTCAGTGAATGAACCCACATCTCAGCATTCAAACAAAAAAAATCACATTCCCTTTAGCCTTTATTATTTCAAAGCTTCTGAGATAATCAAGTTACTTTCTTACTACACTGTATTAGTATGTTTTGCTACAATTTATCACTACCTTGGATGTTTCTTGAAACTTTTTTTACAGTAGACAAAATAGAATACTGTCAACTAAATGACATGCTTCCATAAAACTATATTTCTGCTGCATTGAAAACACTGATATTTACAAGATTAGGTGTATTTTTGTGGGCTTTTTGGGTTGGGGGGTGGCCTTAAAGTTTAATTCCTACAAATACTGCATGGGGAAGGGCAAGCAGATGTCTACTGATGACCAATATGTACTGTTATTCAAAGTTTTGTTATTCAAAGTTTAATTATTTAATATAATCCCATGTTAAAATCCAGCATCAAATTAAATTCAACTGTGAAATGAGGAGTACCATGTATTAACATTTATAGAGGTTTTATGAAGTAACATCAAAGTGTCTTCAGTTCCTCTCTATGCAATGTTAAACCTGCTCTTGAAATCCTTTAAATCAAACATCAGTTTGACTTAGAAAGTATTGGGATACTAAGTGTTTCAACTGAGCTGTTCAATTCCATAAGTCAAACACAGGAGATATGAAAGAGAATGTTAACTTTTTAAAAACTTGTTGTATGCTAAAATAAAACGTTGGGAATTTTTAGAGAGGAAAGGGGTAAGCCTATTTAAATACTCTTTTTAAGTAATTAAAAGCATGCAATTCCCTCTCCGATTTTGTCACCTGCTGCTTTCTCCAGTGAGGCTCCATGCTGGCCAACATAAAGCTCTCAGGCATGGCCTCTGCACAATGGCCTGTGCAGGCCATGATGGTCATAAGAGAACTGTCTCCTTGCTACTGCATGCCATCAGCTGAAGCAGAACTCAGCTCTGTTCAGCCCTATTCCTCTTTTGCCCCATGAAAAGCCATTAAAAATATCAATGTCAGTATTAGTTTTTTATACTTAGCATCAACAAAATACTCAACTCTAAATAAAAACATACACAACATTTGTATCGAGTTAGACTAGTGTTGAAAGAGTTGTATAGTGCAACTTAACTAGAGTGCTGAAAGTAGTCTCAGAACAGATTTGTTGGATATAACGAGAAAAAAGTCACTAGGAGATGCGTCATTACTTAAAGGAACTTATAATGCTACTGTATCTCTTGCAGAGACAAGAAATTAGACAGTGGAGGTGAAACAGACATTCCCAAGAAGGAAATTTACCTGTCCAATCAGAGACTACTAGGGAGATGCACTGGTCTTTTTTTCTAAATAGTTAAAGTTGGACCTGACATGTATACAGTATATTATGACTAACCTAAGAGTTAAAGCAGCAAAACAGTAGATTTTCAGCTCTAAGTGTGTTGGCAGCTTATTTACAATGCCAGTGTCTGCTGGGAAAAAAAAACAAACAAGAAGATATTAGCTTAATAACTTATGAGATGGGTTTCCAAGCTTTACTGAAGAATGTTCAAATGCTTTGAACATCATCCCTCCCATTTGTAAAACTATTGTAAAACTATTAACAATCCTGAAGCATCTAAAACAATAGCTTACATGGAAAAGAGTTATTTTTAGCTGTTTTGCTAAGGGATCCAGTTTCTTTTCTGCTTTTAACATAGGACAAAACTTGTGTGATCTGTTGGTTTCTCTGCTCTCAACTCTCCAAGTTTCCATATTGGAAAGAAAGGGGTCCAAAAAAACTCCCAAAAAACTACCGCAAAAAAACTAACAACCCACTTCCAAAACCCCCAACTCTGCTTAATTTTTGTTCACCATACTCTACTTGAAATACTTGAGCAAAAACCCGTAGATTTTGAGGAGAGAGGAAAGAAAAGCAAGGGGGTATATCATGACAGTATTTCCCTCTGGAGAGGGTGCGCAGAATGCCCCAGTGCGCATATGATCTCGACTTCATTCAAGTTGAGAGAAATTTGACCCAAGGTTGTGCAGGTCTGCTTCTTCGTGTTCCCCACTAGGATCATGGCAAGACACCACCGAGTGTCGTGGCTCTTGTGCATGTGTGGCTGGGGGAGTGAAGGAAGGGAAACGGGAAACTATTGGAGAGAGCTTAGGACTGTACCTTCCCCACCTCCCCCGGGCTACAAAAGCTCGCTACTCGCGCTAACTCCCGCGTGGAAAGGGGTGAAGGATATTAGGGAAGTGCCGCAACGTGTACCGGCATCCCTTAAGAGAGGAACTTGAGTACTGAATTAAACGACCTTCGTGCTTTAAAAGTCTGTTTCCCAGGAAAATACGTGGGAAAATCCACATCCCTGGCGCACCGCTCCGGGGAGCTTACATGGCGGGCCACACGAGGAGGACAGAACAATGACACGAGCCACGTGTGGGCCCCGCTTCTCCACGCTTTCGCCGGAATCCGCCTTTAAAGCATTTCGGTGTCCCCCCGGATAGCCAAGAAGGGCTCTGCTGCCCACAGCGCAGTCCCCAGCCGCGGGGCAGGCCTCCTCCCCCACCCCCCCCTCCCGCTCCGGAGCGCAGCGAAATGGCGGCCGCCGCCGCCGTGCCCGAGGGGCCGCACGGCGGAAGCGCAGCCTCTCCCGCACCCTCCCTCTTCCTGCCAGCAGCCGCCATTGCGGGCTAATGCGCCATGGCGCAGGGGAAACCGGGGCTGAAGCCCGGCAGAAACACGCTACGAGGAGGCGGCGGCGGCGGCGGCGGGTGCCACCGCTACGTGCCGCCTCCCCCTCACAGCCCGCCGCGCCCACCTTCCCCCTTCCCCCCGGCGGCGAGTTACAGCGGCTCTACTGCGGCGGGGGAGGGGGGAAAGGGGGGGGGGAAGGAGAAGGAGGCCGCTTCACCTTCCCTTCCACCCTAGCCTCAGCTCAGCCCAGCGGGGCCAGCTCCCCGAGCACGACGGGCAGTTACCTCCATTTTGTGACCAGACTTGCCTCCTTCAGTATCAATATGGAGCCCAGGGGAAGACGGGGGAGGGG